TTATGTTAACCCCATCAATTATATTCAAGTCAATTTGTCCTCCTTTAATCTACTTGACAAAAGGAATTACTTCATTAAACATTTAAGATTTACCCAGTGGAAAGATTTCTAGCCCAGAAACTTGAAAGGGTTAATTAGTTTGTCTTGTCTGCCCCCTATTCTAAGTGTAGGATACGTCCCCCATGAAAAGCATAAAGCTGCCAGGGTTGGCATAAATCAAGTGCCCCTCACTCTTCCATGGTGTGGACTCACATGCCTGGGAACATGTGACACTAGTCCACATCAGGAAACAGAGAGGAAGGAGTACTGAGGCAGGATCATTCTTTCTAACATATTAAATATCAAAAAAAAAATCACCAGACAGGACTTCAAATATTTTGCCATTACATTTTCATCTACAGGCATATATTCTTCTAGCAATAGTAATATCAACCCGAGAATAATGTGGGAGATTAAGTGAGAAGAGAAGAGTGTCAGAGAGCCTTTCAGCCAGTAAAGAACTTGAATAAATAGAATTAGTTTCAGATTCTGTTATATTTTATTATGGTCTTCTTAATGTGAAAAGAAAGTATGGCAGAAATATATGAAAAATCCTTTTCACTTTAGCCTTTTTCTTAAGAGTTTTGATTGAATGAAAAATCTCCCTTTCATAGTGCCCATAGTATGCTTTAATTATGCTATTATATCATTAAACTTAATATTTGCTATAATCATGCTATTAAATATTAAATTTAATATTTGTATATTTCTTGGTAACTCCAACAGTAAAGTTCATTGATGTGTGGCGGTACTAGTGACAAGCCATAGTTGAAAAGCTAGCAACTCATTCTAGAAAAGTGAAGTATGAAAAAGAGAAGATCAAAGGGAAGGTTGACTCTGATAAAGAATTGTTATTTGAGAATTAACAGAGGAAAGCTAATCAAAGATGTTAATTTTAACATAAGTGAATTTCACTGTTTGAATTACAATAGCAGACAGACAAGAGGGTGAAATAGCAACTTGTGATGTTTAAACCTGTGTTTGTAAGTTAACATAAATAATGGCAATGCCTGTAGTTAAGCCTCATTGAATTCACCCTCACTAATTATATGGGATTATAGAAACAAGAGTTTTCTTAATCAAAAAACAAACAAGCAAATCTAACAGTGCCAAAGCAACTACCCAAGTGCAAGGTGCCGTGCTAGCTGTAGTGAAATTTTTTGTTAATGAATACTAATGAAAGCACAAGACATGGTTCCAGACCTGTGGGACTTATAAAGCTTATTGAATGAGACAGGATAGATTATATGAGCTGAAAGAGCTGGGTAGGAAGCAGGAACCATTTCACATCCTAATTGGATTGTGTTTGCCACAGGTGTGGACTGATAACGATTTGAGAAGGTTTCAATCACTGCTTATACAATGGAATACTAATTTTCTTTACATTTCATCAATGATATATATTAAAAACAGTGTCTTCATCGTGATCACCTTAAACTTCTAAAAGTAAAATGGTATCCTATTTGTGAAATAGAAGACTAGAACTAAAGAATTCCTACTGTCAGAAAAACAAAGAATGTCGTTCAAATAGGTGAGGGAAAAAGATATGTTCTTTTCTACTTTTGCAATTTGCAAAAAACAAAAATTGCAAGCTCTGAAGATGTCAGAATGTCTTTCAGTTTCCTGGACATACAGAGCTAAGTAAACCACAAAACACCCAGCTCTATGATGGAGGGCGGTGTTGATGTACCCTTTTAGAGGATTGGTAGAATCTGTATTTTCAAGTATTTGTTTGATGCCTTTTCCAAATTCTTTAGAATGGGTGGGGAAAGCATGAACTGCATAAAAGCAGCTGCCTTAAGATTTCTAAAATTCATGCAAAAGCTTCATAGATAAATCAGCTTATCAGATTTGGCACCTGCTCTTTAGTGATGGACCCAGAAGCAACCACATCTTATTTGGATTATGCCTATGCTGCCAGCCCAAATCCTGACGTTAAGGAGAACATCCTCTGTGTTTCTTATAAATCTCTCCTCTTCCCCATCTTTTACGCAACCGTGTTCCTGATCGGAGTGTTGGGGAACTTGGTCCTCATGACAGCATTGCATATCAAACGGAGAGACAGAAGACTGATCGACATCTTTATCATTAACCTGGCCATCTCTGACTTCATTTTCCTCATCACTTTGCCTCTCTGGGTGGATAAAGAAGCATCTTGTGGCCAGTGGAGGACAGGCTCCGTCCTATGCAAAGGCAGCTCCTACATGATCTCAGTCAACATGCACTGCACTGTCTTCTTGCTCACCTGCATGAGTGTTGACCGCTACTTAGCCATCATGTGTCCAGTTTTATCGAGGAAATTCAGAAAGAGAGAGTGTGCGTATGGACTCTGTGCCAGCATCTGGTTTCTCTCCTGCCTGCTAGGATTGCCTACTCTTCTGTCCCGGGAGCTCATCTTCATTAATGATAAGCCATACTGTGCAGAAAAGA